ATGTTTCAAGTTATATAAAACTTCAGTTTATATCAGGTATGTAGTAATGCAGTTTTATAAAGGATTTGTGTTGCTCACATACATTTGAATTATATTTATATTTATAGGACTGAAAAAGTACATTATTGGTCAATATAAATTAACTAGAAAAAATATAAAAGAACTAGTGATGGAGCAACAAATAGGACCAGAAAATAAACATGGTTGTGTTCTAAAAATTAACAGGATCTATTAATAGCAGTGCTGATCACCACTTTGTAGATCACAAAGTTTGGCATCCAAAGAAATTCTGCTGAATCTCATAACTATATTGATATGGTACTGGACTTCTTTTTTCCCTGATAATTCATTTAGGCTCCTAAAAGTCACTAATTAACACTTCTTAGGTATAGTTTTTGAACTCCCTGTTACATATTAAACTACTAATCCTACATTTTAAAGTTCTCACTATGATTTAGTTTGGTGGGCTCAATTATGAATATACTTATAGCACTGGAAGTAGGGAAGAAGAGGAATTATTCTTAGGTTGCAACAATAGCCATACAATAAAATTTCATCTTTTAACATCCTTCCCCCAATTTTTATAATATACAAGGTAAAGGGGTTTGGCTTGGGTTACATTTTTTTTACTGCCCATATAAAAGATTGACTGTGTACTAAGAATATCCCATATTCCAAATCATGAAAAGGCCATTTAAATTAAAGCGAACCTTTGTTTCTTGCCTTCAGACATCTATATTAGGCACAAACATGTTTTTTGTTAGTTTCCTTACTACTCCTCACAAGAGCACAGAGAGCATCTCCATTCTAGAAGTTCCTAAAGGATAGGGATTTCCTGATAAAGTTATTTGATAAGGCACTTTTCCAGTGCCTTAACACAATTAACAACTTGATAAATATATTTGGGTGACTTACAGAAAATAGTAGCAAATTAAAAGTGAAATAAAGAAGTACACTTGTTTATCACACTTTGAAATCACTGCAAAGAAATGCCAGTATAGTACTGAGAAGCATCTAGCCGCTCAACAATTAGTCTATCATAAACTATCCACCAGGACTTTGGTGATTAAGATTTTAAATAACCACAAACTATACACTATGGCAGCATTGGTAATTTGAAAACTCTCCTGTACAAAATACTTAAATGTTATGGCTAACGACAATTTGTGAAATGTTTGTCGAATTTTGTCTAGAGTACCTTCCTTACCTCTCCTTTCTGCAAAGTTTTCTTCCCCCAAGGAATATCTCTTTACATTAGAAGGCGCCCTTTGTCAATATAAAACTTCTCGACAATGCCCAATACTCTGCACTTTCTCTTCCACTTCCATTCTCTCCAACCCCACACACTTCAAAGTCTTCCTCAAACAGCTAAAAAAAAAACCTCATTAAATATATTAAGGTGTTATTAAAACAGCAGCTTAATATTACTTCTCCCAGAAATGTTGCCCATTTTAGAAGTATGCTTAGCCCAAAGGTATGCAAAGCTTATGTAGGAATTCACGCATCAAACAGCCCCTCTACAATGCAGCAAATCAGACCACAAAAGTGACACACATCTCTAGACTGAGACCAAGAATAAACGTGAAATTCAGCTCTCTTCATCCATCTCCTGACCCCATGTTGAAATTTCAAGGACATCCAGATTCATCAGTTGCAAATAGAATTTCCTGAAAATGGTCTTCATGGTGATTTGGTAGGGACTGAATCCGGACTGAAACATTTCATCATTTCCTTTTACTGCACAAAAACTGATTACCAATTGTCAGCAAATTAAAGGGTTTACACAGGTTTTGCTCATGAATATATACTAATAGCTACCATCTACTCTACAGTTACTTTAAAAGACATGAACTAACACGAACTATGTTTAGTTTAGGTGCTCCCTAAATAAAGGCGTTAAACCTTTCTCAAGCAAGCAGGCCTAAGGTAAACCATAGGCTCCCACAAATAGAAGTGGCTTATTATCACACTAATTCTCAATGAAAGAGGAGAAACACATGGGTGGTAAGAATCATTGCTTAATACTTCATAAAACAACACATTTACAGCCAGCTCTTGTTTCAGTTAACCTTAACCTCTGAATTGGAGCATTCTGTCTAAAAAGACTATGAGTATACTTTCTGAGAATTTTACTTGGTAGGGGGCAGACTTAACTTTATATCCCAGGCACATGAACTTCCAATTCACTTTTTCTGAATTTTAAGAAAAGAAGCAGTGTTACCTCTGACATGATTCTGACCCACTTTAAAAATCAATTAACAATGTCTATTAACCCACCACTAACTGGCTCAGCACTTGCGTAAATCTATTGAACTCATTTACATAAAAGGCATCTATACAAACAATAAATCTTTCTCCTTTTTTCCTTACTCCATCAGTACACACATTTCAAAGGGCCATCCATCTACTACTAACATACACATAACCTCTTCATCTCACCGTTTCTGCTTTAGGAATTCTCCCTAAGTAGAATATATTATGAATATTTTGCACATGTAGAGGGAGACTGTTAAATGCAAAGGATGAGAAACCCAGAGGTTCTAGAGTGAATTTACTTCCATGCTGTTAAAGATTTTTACTTTTATTGGATAAATATAATCCAAAGAAATCAAGGATTATAAAACATTCATAAAAAGCAAGTTTCATCTCCAACTAGTAAGTCTAAATGTGGATGCATCTTTCCTAGCACAAATGATTTTCATTCAACTACAACTAGATCAATATAATACAGTGGTTAAGAGTGCAAGCTTAAGTAAGATAGATCCTAGTTCTGCTCCTTCCTAACCAATGTAACCTTGGGCAAAGTAATTTTATAATTTTGCAAGCCCCATTTTCCTCATTTGTAAAATGGGGACAACAGATCTGGTCATGGGGTTGTGAGATTAAATAAAATCACCTGTGAAGAGCATACGTATTCTATCCCAATAGCTAGCTGTTTTAGTAAACGTTTGCCATTTGGTTCGATGAAATCTCCAATGTAATAGTGGAAGCTATAGGTATTTCAGGCAACTTTCCACTTTTACATGTGGTTTGGGTAACAGTAAAAAAAGGTTTAACAATATTAGGGCATATACAAAGATGTAAAAAAACAACAAAAAACTTGCTACAACTCAAATTTATTTGTTCAATGTAAATTTATACCATTAAGTATGTGTTAAGAAATCTAATCCAAGAACTCACACCTGAAACAGCAAATACCAATTTAATCTCACTCATTTTAAATAATTTATTTATGTGGGGGGGGGCGAGGGAAGCATGCTATTTACTTTTTACCCCACCCCCAAAGTCAAATCTCTACAAGGATCTTAATAATGCTATAATATTGGAAACTGACAAAAATTATCAAGCCATCTCAACTGGTGCTATCGGATAGGCTACAAAACTGCCACATATTAGAACTCTTTTCTGTTTGAGATGTCATGCAATAATATACACACCATACAGGTACTAAATATACACACCATACAAGTACCTACTCCAACCATTCCATTATGACATTCCTGGGCCCTAAGTTTGACAGGAACATTAAATTCCCTTTCTTGACTGACATACCTTCTGTTTGCTTTTAAATAACTATAGCTCATAGGGTAGATTCAATAGCCACTTACTCATTCTAGTACAACACAATCTTTCCTTCCCCTCTCAATTTTTGCAAGAAAACTCAGACAATCCACTCCAGTAATACTGAGTAATTTTACATAGTCCTCAAATAATGATTTTTGTGAGATGAGACATACTTTGTTTCTTTACATTTCCAACTATATTCAAGGCTGTGTCGACAGTGGACTTGAACAAATACTCTTATATAATTTAATACTATCACATAAAACCATAAAAGTGACTGACAACAGACATAGGTGGACTCTGTTTATATGTCAATGTGTTTTCAAAAAGTCGTGTAAAGAAAAATCCTATTTCAAAAGCAGTAAAAGAGATTGGAGAGGATGTCATTTAATAAACACACACAAAAAGTCCTCTACCATTAATCTTTTCACAGTATTAAGTCACCCTTTGGTTTACGTTTTGGAAGTTTGCGTGATCCTAAACAGAGTTTTCCTAAGTGAGCAAGTCCACTGCACAGCAAGCTGAATGAATTTAGAAAGAGAGAATTTACAGCACTTTTTTACACGTAGGAAATATAAGCAGTCCTAGGGCAATCAATTTCCCATTCCTTTTATTTTATGCATCGATAGAAAGCATGCCTACGTGAAAAGACTTTATTATGGCCATAAAAGTGATGGATTTCTGGATTTTTTTTAAAAAGGGAAAACACATTAAATATATTCCACATTTTTGCCCTGTAACTATTTTGCACTACCTTTACTTCCCAAAGGCAGCTACCTCAGGTACAATAACCTTTCTCGCCAATAAAAGTTGTTCCGTAAATTTGGAGAAAGTTTAGGGCTAAAACATAATTTCTCCAGTCCTATCTTTATCTCCGCCTAGGATATTGACATACCTAATCCCATTCAACAGTCAGAGCAGCGAGGCACTGGGTGGCTGATGTTCAATAAAACAAAGAAGGTTTTAAAGAAAAAGGAAAATAAAAGCCAGACGAGAGCCCATAAACACGAGAAACCTTAAGCAGAGTCATGAAATTTTTGGATTGTCGGAAACTAGACAAACCTTCTGGGCTTCCAGAAACAGCCGAAGCCCAGAGAAGGCCAGGTCATTCTGGTGGTCACAAGCAGGTGGGACCAAAACCCTAGAGTGCAGGTCCCCACAGCGATAGTTAAGCACCGGACTCCAAGAAGGGAGGCCATCCCCAGGGCCGCCGCCCTGGGTGCCGCGCCTGGGGGCGGCACCCTCGGCTGCTCCCGCCCGCTAGCTCTGCACTCGCAAGACAGAGGCGGTGCCAGGAGGCCGGGACAAGCAGCGCGCGCGGCAGGAACAGACGCTCGGAGGGACAGGAAAGAGTGCCCCAAGTTGAGGCTGGGGAGAGGATGGAGGGTGTGAAGGGCAGGGGCGTCCAGAGGCGGAGAAAGGGGCCTAGCTCTCACCCTTGTCGCACGCCAGCAAGAAAAGCTTCTCATTCAGGGTGTTCTCCTCCTTCACCTCCCGCACATCCTTCAGCGCCATCACCTCGTTCGGCGACGAAGAGGAGGATGGGGAGGAAGGCAGGGAGGAGGAAGCGCCCGAGAGGTCCATGCTCGGGTCCAGGGCCGCCATCATAGCAGCCCATGAAGGGGGCAGGCCAGGAGACGGGGGCGGGGCCCCCACCAGCCCCGACCCCGACCCCAGCCCCGCCCCAGGGCTGGAAAAGGGATGAGTCGTTCCCACGGCCGCCTCAGCGCGCGGCCCGTTGGCCCCCAAAGGTGTTGCCTCCCCTCGGAGCCAGCACTCGCCCTCCACTGAAAGCCCCAGATCGGTGGCGGCGCATGCGCGACCCCGGGGCCAGCGCCCCCTCCCCAGCCGCCGGCGCCCGGGCCGAGCCGGTCCGCGCCCGTCCGGGGACGACTGAGTGGCGCGCGCCAGGGCGCTAGCCGAGCGCGGGGCCGTGCCAGGAGCCAAAAGGGCCGCGCGGGGGCGGCCCGGCCCGGGAGGATGAGAGATCAGTAGGAGGAAAAGAGCTCCGAGAAGCGACTCCGCGCACGTCGGGCGCCAGGGTTGTGGGAACCGCCGGCCGGGTTGCGCCGGGAGATGTTCGCGACTCTCTTCACGTCACCTTCCGCTCGGCGAGATCGTCGACACCGGGGCGGGCTCGGTGGGCGGGGCCTACTGCAGAGGCGGGGTCTACGAGCGCCCCGCCCCCCGCCCTCGCCAGCTGGCCGCGGGGGGAAGGCTTCCATCTCCTGAGGAAAAGGCGACTGCGCAGCGCGCCGTCTCCTCACCCAGGTCGCCGCTTTGAGGTAATTTCCCCGCCGTCTTCCTGCTGCACCTGATATGCAGCAGCGGTGTAGTTAATTGAGCCCCTGACGGCTTACCGTCTAGTCGAAACCCTCTGTGAAACTGTCGAATTATTTCACCTTCCTGTATCTTTCGCCTAAAGCAGGCAGGAGCGGGCCCTCGCCACGCCCCCAGACGTGTATTTTTCTATGTATTTATATTGGGCTAACCACCCTCATTTGTAAAGACTATCTTTTTTAACAACTTGTCTGTGATACCAAATTGGCATTAATACTCGTGATGTCATACACTTATTCGCATGTAATTAATGTGTACCGACGTGTAACTATTGGATAAGCACCTTTTCGGATCTACTCGACGTCACAGTCCTTCCAGTGGTTTCTTGTTCCTCTTCACATTTATAAATCTGATTTTTAAAGTTGAGTGTTATTTAGGCAACAGCTAATTGAAGCGCAATAAGTACTACTTCCTTGAATATTTAAAATGCTTGCACCTTCAAAAACTAGGGGGCGGGACTGGAAATATCTCTCTTGAATAATTCCTATTACTTCCCACAACCAACAATACAGAAATCTAAATTGTGCCCTTAGTGCTTTAGGTTCTTAAGGCAATACGTAAATTTACTTCGGAGTGTCTTATATTTGAGGGAAATACTTCCTTCTCTGTTCACGTTGATTTGTTCCATCCATCCCTGCCAACACTAACTCCCAAATTTCCTAAATATATCATTCTCATCATTCAGAGTACTCTTTAGATCTTCTTTAAGAGGCCTTAGGTGCATGACAAGATTGCCCACCTTTCCAAACATGTGTTTACTTCAAAAGTTGTCTATTGAATCATGTTATCTCTAGATGATCTTAAATCTCCCCCATTCTGTTAGTAAAGTTCCAATTTTGTGTATTTGGTGGGTTGTCAAAGTTGTTCTTTGTTAATTTGTGGTCACTGAATAGACTGGTATATATATTTGGGTTTCTGTGTGTGCTTACACATTCTGAAGAAATTTTTACTCAGCAGAACTCTAACCCTAATCCATCCAAAAGTTCCAGAGTGAAAGTAAAAATTCAGATAGCTCAGACCTGTAAAAACCACTTTATTCTAAAGTCTTTTCAAGTTTCTGGATTTAGGTAATTTCTTATCCAGAGCAGTCCCACAGGGGCTGGATTAATTTCTCAAATTCAAGGGAATTCCAGCCTACTTTAGTAGATAATCTTAGGAGGCATTTCAAAGTATTAGAGAGCTTTCCTTCTTTAAAGTAAGCTGGTATTGCAACTGCCTCCTGTTCTTCAGAAGTCTTTTTGAATCATCTCAGATGCAGAATATTCTCCCTTGCTTCTCTGGTACATTCTTCAGCTAGCATAAATTGGGGTATTTTAACATCCCCTGTATAATCCGTTTTATTTTGTTTCTATGATGTGGAGACCAATGATAGAGTTATGATGAACAATGGAATGCAAGATTCTGAAGCAGCACATTACTTAAAGCAACTCATCAAACTCCAGGTACAAAAGAGAAGAGCTATTACAACTCCAGTTGGAGAAGTGACCTTGTCCTAAAAGTAAAATAGACCCTATCTACATCTCCAAACTCTCTACCCCTTCTCCTCACTACTCTCAGCCCACATTTAACCTATTTGTTTTCCTAAAATGCCTACAAGACTCTTCCTGACTCAGAGCCTTTGCACTTGTTCCCTCTGCTGAACACTTACCACCTAGCTCCTCCTCATCATTCATATATCTCAGTACAAATAATATTCTTCAAAAGATTTTCCCTTACCACCCAAACTAAAATAATGTTAACCCCATTCCCAAGTCAGTCTCTATCACATTACCATGTTTTATTTCTCCTACTGCATTTATCACTATCTAAAATTCCTATTTATCATCTCTCTTCACTAGGATGTAAAATTCTTGAGGTCAGGAAACTTTGTATATATTTTTATAAGCTGAATACTCTGTGTCTAGTGCCATACCTGGATCATAGTAGAAAAACTTATGGTAATGAATTGAGTCACTGGAATTATGTTAGCACAAACTAGATATGTAGTAATCATGCAGTTGATCTTTACTAACATTCTTCATATTGAAGACCCAGAGAACCACTTTTACTCCAAAAGTAATCTAATAAAATTTTGTTTAGCGATTAGTTTAGTAATTGTTCTCTCTTCCTTTCTGGAAAATAAGCTTATGATAGGTCAATTTTGAAGGTTGTGTATTCTTCTTTAAATAAATAAAAGAAATACTGACACATTTGTACTTACACAGGATTTTTATTAAATATACTTTGTGAGGAAAAAGAACACTCAAAAGTGCCAAATTTCATGTAAATCATAACTTAGTAAATGTAATGGTGAAAAAAATCAAATGGGAAACATGATTTAAATCTCACAGAAGAACAAGAATACATCTTAATCTTCATATAAGAAAAGTCATCAAAATATGAGAGGAAATTTCTTTCATAGAAGAATATATTTCAAAGTTCCACCTATTGACAATTTCATTTAAAAAATTCTATTCTAAACACATGAGCCTGTCTCTCTCTTACCAACAGGTATGTTTTTATAAGGGCTTTAGACTGCTTATTCATACTGAGATAAAGTGACAGTATTTCTGTTTCACAGCATTATTGTTTACTGGCACTAACAGTAAAAGATCGAGGAAGTAGAATGCTGAATTCAGTTGTTAACAGCAAAATCGATCTACTGTTAAAAATTAACACAAAAATAGCTCTGATGCTTAGCTATTCTTAACACAAACACTGACAAAATATTGCCAATTTGTAAGAGCTATGGAAAAAACTGAAAATACTCTATGTTGAATATTAGTTTGTGTTAATTTGTATTAAAGATATTCAATGGGCATCTTCTAAATTATTTAGGGCTTTAGTATAGACCAAAATTAGCACGTGTAATATGAAGTTAACAGTATAGTGTCAACATGTCTTGAGATATTTTAGCCAATGTTTGATTGTAAATATTTGGAAGAAGTCAGTTGAAAAATAACTATATGCACATCCAAGATGAATATTTCTAAAAGAAATCTTAATGTACCAGATATCTACAAACTGAAAAGTGTTACACATGTAGTAGGGACACAGTAAATACTTAATGGTTGGCTGACTGACCAATTATACATACCATTTAAGAAAGCCAGGGTAATTCAAGTGCAAATATATATATATACACACACACACACACACACATATTTCTCTAACAATATCCTTTCAACATATATATGCTGCATATCATAATTAAAGCTGTATTACCAAACTAGTATATGTAAGGTATCAACACAGTTAAAATTAAATTTTAAGTAAAGAGCCCCTGCTGCTTACACAAAAGAATGAACTTCAGGGTTTATTCAAGAGTTAGTTCTTGTATATAAAAAGTTTAATGTTAATGAACAATACTCGTCACTTAAAAATTTTAGACAATATAGAAATTTACAGAAAAAGTTTAGACAACATAGTTGGAAGAAACAATAATTGAAAAATTAAACTGGATTATGACTTTAAACACATTTATGATCAAAATTAACACACACAAAAACTGAAACACATTTCACAGCGGAACCTGCAAAAAATTACTGTATTGATCTTTTTGAACCATGAAAATGAATGAATTTATCTTCTAATGAGACTTTCAGGAAATTAAAATAATTTGATCATGTACTATTCAGCTTAATAATGAGCATATTCTTTATCAGTATTGACTGGACAATGAATTGTGTTATCCAAAAAGGTTGACAAATTCTAACTAGTATGAACAAGATACTTAATTCACTACTGAATTATACAATTATTTTGAGCATATAAATAATCTCTGGTTTTATACCCACTACATTTCAGATTTTTATAAACTGTGAGGCATACAATGTGGCAGAAAATCATATTCAGTGTTTCATTATTTTATTCTGTTCAGTCCTTTTCCCATTAAGCATGCAAACACTGTCATAACCATCTCTGGTTTCACTTCTACAAGGTCATCAGGTAAGGCATATATCCGGGCACCAATTTTTCGAGCAACTGAAATGGCGTATCTTGAAAAAACAAGAAAAATATCTTGGTATTTGTTATCTGTGTTTTCACTTAATATATGTTAACAAATAAATGAAGTATTTTGGTAAAATTAAGTTTAGAAGAAGGCTAAGTTTGTGAGTCTTTAAATCATATTCCTTATACAGATTGTACATATGTATATATATATATAAATATACACATACACACACATATGTGAATTTTAGGAACCCAGTAACCTTACCTGTATGAATTTAAGAAGTTAAAGAGTTACTATGTTCTAATGTAAACTATAAAGGCTTACTTAGCATTGTTCAGCTTGTCCTCCTCAGAAAGGTCTTCTCTCTTGATCATTTCTTGACGAACTGCATTTGGTGCAATGGCATCTATTAAATCTAGAACAGGTAAACTAGTGCTAATAGATCTGTCCTAGAAATTAAAGAATAGATAAACATGAACATTTTTAGTTTTTATAAATTTCAGTCTAGGAGGTCATAAACATACACATATATAAGCAATTTACAAATCTTCTTTACACTTAACATTCATCATTTCTGTAACCAGTATATATTACAAACCATTTAAAATACACTTTTCCTTCGATCTTTACAAAGCTTACAGTGTTGTCAACATACCTGAATAAGGTTTGTGGATGTGACAGTCCCTAAAGTTATGCTAGCTATAGTACCCATTCTGTAAAAAATAACTTTTGAAAGGGAATAAGAGATGAATTTTCAATTAATAGTTTTGCAAATTCTAGTAATACTATATTTCTTAGGCCATGGGATCCTGAGCCTTCACTTAATATTTTTCAGAAAGAAAAGTGAATAGTGGAAAGGAACTAACATTTGCAAATGCATTATTATTGTTGCTTTACATGTTCAGCTTGTTTAAACCTAAGAGCCTTGTTACAAAGAAATTAGAATATCTTTTAAAGATGAAGAACATGAAGTTCAAAGATCTCAAGTGACTCATTCACACAACCAGTAAGTACAGAACCAGTATTTGAACCCATGTTCTGCCTGACTCTAACACCTAAGATACTCCCCATGTTTGAAGTTACCTCCAAGGTGAACTAAAAATGGACAACTAAATTCTAGTGGCTAGAGTACTGCCACCGAAGTCAGAAATTCAGGTCAGAATTGATTTTACCACTTAACCGGTACTTGAACAAATGACCTATTCTGTCTCAGCTTGAACGGTGACCACCATTGCTTACCTACCCAGAATCCTTTCATCCCTTACTACTACCTCCATCCTAACAGAACCTGCCTTTTTGCACTGTATACACACCTCCCTTACATGTACATGTGCTTCAAGGAAATCTGACCCTATCCGCAACTCCAGGAGTGATAGTGACTTTGTCTAGGCCATGCACTTCTGGGGCTGGGTTGATAAGCTTATTCTTTTTTTTTGCGTAAGTTTAGTTTATTGATAGTGTACAAAGTTAACACAATACTTTTTTGCTATATTCCCTATGCTGTACTTTTTATTCCTGTGACATTTACATAGAAAGTTTGTACCTCTTTATCCTCTTCACCTGTTTCGTCCAATACCTAAACTTCATAAAAGTTCTCAATGGGTGTCTTGATTTTTTAATTTTTTTATTATTTTTTATTTTGGTATCGTTAATGTACAATTACTTGAACATTATGGTTACTAGACTCCCCCTATTATCAAGTCCCTCCCACATACCCCATTACAGTCACTGTCCATCAGAGTAGTAAAATTCTATAGAATCATTACTTGTCTTCTCTGTATATACTGCTATTCCTGTGTCTACCCCCTGCTACATTATGTGTGATAAGCTTATTCTTTTTATATAAAAGCATACAGGGCATAAGTAGACATACAGTAATATATATGACATTAAAATTTCATGGAGGGGGCGGTGTTTAGGAAGAATGTACTTGAAAAGACTCCTTAGATGAATAATAATGAAAAAAAGGTTGAAAAACACTCATCTAAACCAAATAGAGTAATCCCACCCATGGAATTAATTTGGGCCAAATTTAATCTAATGTGAGGCCATTACTTATCAGGAAGAGCTATGGAAAGCCAGCAACCCCTCCTCCTGGATGTGAATGAAAAGATGAAACCTTTATAATAACCAGCAGCTATCCCATGACCAAAGGGAGAACTGCTTTAGGGCTGGCAAAGCAGAGGTGGACAAAATCTTGAGTCCTGAATGACATTCTTCAATTACTGGCTTAACCAACACTTAAGTCCTCTGGATTTCTACCATTGTTCTATACCTTTTCTTTTGGTTTAAAGTTTAAATTGGGTTTGTTACCTAAAGTCAAAAATAGCCTTCCTAATCACTACAATGGGAGTGTCACAGGATTCTTGGCCATATTAAGAGAATACAAGTGAAAGCATCCAGTACAGTTCCTAGCCCAAATGTGGTTCTTAATAAATGTTTGATAGAACATTGAAGCCATGTGAAGAAGAGTAACATGCTGCTTTTTTGGGGGGCATGATATATGAACTACTAATTTATTAGTTTTAGAAAAATTTATATTCTTCATTTTCAACAATGCTTATTTTATGAAACAGATTTTTTGGGGGTGGGAATAGCAGTAAAGGGGTGAAAGTAAGGTTCATTTAATGCTGGTAATCTGGATCTGGTTTTTTTGGCATCATTTCTATTTATGAAAAAGTCTCAATATGTAGTCTGCTGACTACCCACATGAAAATCACCTGAGGTGTTTGTGGTGAAGCACAAATTTATCCCTACACTAAAGGAGTCATTATCTATGGTTGGGGCTAGGAATCTACCTTTTTAATAAGGCTTTTAGATGATTCTAACACATACCATTATTCTTTCTAAAATTAAACATTTTTGTCATTCTGTAATAAATTAAAAATTTCTATGTGCTTCCTTTTCATATAATATTTCTATGATGATTGAAAGACAAGTGGCTTAACTGTTATTTTGGTTATTTGTATATTAGTGAGTGTATTTTTTAAGTTTGGAGAAAATATTTTTGTTCGTTGTTTTCAGCTTTATTGAGGTATACTTGACAAATAAAATTGTAAGATATTTAAAGTGTACATCTTGATGATTTGATATACATTGTGAAGGGATTCTTCCCAGTTGGTGCCCATCACCTCACATATATATACATTTTTTTTCCTTTGGCTAAAACATTCAAGTTCTGCTCTCTTAGAAAATTTTAATTATTCAATATAGTGTTAAAGACACTGTATTTTAAGGACAGCTGCCTCGAGTTTGGCTTGATTTTCAAGATAATGAATTGTACCACCTCTTTGTCTTAATTTGATACACATACTGTTAGAACATTCCATTCCATTGTTCTTCCTGTCATTTTTAAAAATAAAAGTGGAAAAACAGTCATGTGGCTGCCACAGTTTCCTAAAAAGCTCAACAGGAACCTCTCCACATATGATGACCCTTATATATTAGCAGTACCAATAGTGCAATAAGCCCCACTTATTGATCCCTTAGTAGGTGTTGAGTACTCTGAACTCTTAACAATTGTTAACTTGTTTAGTTTGACAACAAACCCAGCAGATACGTATTATTATATCTTCTTAAATATGGGGAAACTGAGATATATAGCAATTAATAACTTGTCCAAGGTCACAAAGATACTAAATGGTGAGTCAGAAGTAAATTCAGTTTTGTTCACCAGGAGATGAAACACAGCTGTTAGTGTAACACTAAGGTTTCTGTAAAACACATGCCCTTCTCATGTGCCCCCTACTCCCCTTACCTGATTTCTCTGGTATTGCTTAACCTGCTGTGATTCCTGTTTTCTTATTTGCCTCCTTCCCTCAACAATGGTGAGCTCTTTGACAGCATTAAGTAGCCATAATGACTAGCAAAACACCTGATACAGGGTAAACTCTGAATACTTAAGGAATGAATGAGCAGTATGTAACACAGTAAGTGGCTCAGCCAAAGTCAAACCTGGGGCCAAACAACTCTGTAACTTGGCTTTCAGCCTGTGGTTGGACAGATCTGGATGTGACATCTAGGTATTCTGCTTAATAGTTGTATGACAGTGGACAAGTTATTTAACTTCTCTAATGCTCATCTTTTTTATTTTATTCAGAGAATTAAAAGAATAATGTATAAAGTACTTAACAGTGACACATAGGACTCAATAAATGGTAATTATGAATATTATTGGCTGATGTACCACCTTCTTATCTTCTTGCTGAAGGAAAATTACTTCGCAACTAAAAAAGGTAAATTTGTCTATTCTAAAATTTCTGGGAATAGCACTGCCTTGATTATAAATAATAGGTTCTTACTAGTACCACTTATAGCTTTCAAATATAATGCCTTGTACAGTTAGAAAAAACCTCCCCACCGAACTATTTTTGAGCACAGACTGCCACATTTCTTAAGTATTTATGCTCTCTTTAAAGATTTTATGGACAAGCATCTACTAAATGCTGAGCACTTTTGCAGTATGTTTCTACCACCTCAGTTCCAGGTAAAACCATATTCAGGTCTGCTTTCCTCTGCGAGCTCTCTCCCTTAAACGGTGTATGTACTCTCATTTTTCAGCTATCTCTTCTATCCAAATGATCACCAAGTCTGTATTCCCAGTTTTAATATCTCCTTTCATCCAACTCCTCATTTCCTGAAAATTACCTCAAATTCAACAAGCTTAAAACTGAATTCGTCACCTTTTCTAGAAAGCAGCTGTACCTCTTTACATTCCCATTTCTGTCAGTGTTATCATCTGCTTTCCAATTACCCAGGCCTAAAACATCAAGAGTTTTAACTATCCTCTCTCCTGTGCTTTCAATCAAGAAGCCAAATCCTACCTGTTCTTCTGCAATAGCAAATAACTATCCATTCTTAACATTCTCAGTGCCCACCTCCAACTCTGTTCAGATCCTTATCATTTCATACCATGAGTTCTGCCTCAGCTTCTTAGGCACTGTCCTTGCATTTACACTACTCTTCCTCCAACCCATCCCACTCACCAATGTTCAGAACAGTATTCCTAAGAAAGTCTTTTTTTTTTACACTACTCCCTTTAGCAATACCCTTTGTTAAGGCTGGCTTTCTCCAGTCTGGATCCCTGCATATATGTTGCTCTACATCCCTTTGGAATCATCTTCTCTTGTCAAACTATTTCTCCTAACCTTCTCAGACTCGCATTTATTCCGGATGGACCCCTTCTAGCTTGTTATCCCCCTCCTGTTCTCCACCAGTTCAAATTCCTCCTCCAACTTTCATGCTCAAATCAAATCCAGGTTTCTCTTTCCACTCGTCACTGACCATTCAGTTGGAAATGACCAATTAGACTTATCCATAATATTAATTGTATTACATCTTTGGATTTTATCATTTACTCTGTAGTAGTGTTAACTCCTCAGATATACAAATTTTATCTTTCAAATAGGTGAACACTCTGAGGGGCAATTTAATTTTTTATATATATATTTTTAATTTCTTATATTCTTTATCTTTTTCTTTACCTAGAAAATTACTTAATAGTAATGATGAAAATAGTAATTCACCTGTTACTTAATAGTAAGAGTCCAATATTTATTAATTTGTTTCTAAATATTTCCTCATGTTTAATTATACACTTGCTTATTTTCCATAAATTAATGTACAAACACATAAAATTTCATGTATAATTTTAATGATTACTTTCTTGTTTTATATTTTTTTGTTTCATCTAAGATTTATAAAGACAAATCATGGGCTAAAAAAATCTTTTTTTAAAATAAGCAACAATTAAAAACTCAATGTCATTAGTTCTAAGATGGAAAAGAAAAAAAAAAACCACTTGAACTAGATAGGACTCTGCCAAAATCCAGCTGTCCTGTTCAAACTACTTTGGGGCTCAGTTTTTGGTAAAGATGAGAAGACTGAATATGTCAATTTCTGCCATTTCTTCTGTTTACAATGTTGTTAACATAGAGCAAAGGCAAAGTAGAAAATAAAGATAGGTAGATTGCTCAGGTGAGCTCAGGGCTTTACCTGTTTGCGCTTTTTTATTACACTAAAAAAATACAAATTGCTGATTTTTCACATAAAATCACATACACAAGGCTCACTGAATGAATGTGTACAAGCAGACATGCTTATCTGTAGCTACATCAGCTTGCATGCAAAAGCAGAACACAATGGAAATGCATGAAAATTAGTAGGTATGTATGTGCAGATTACATTTTGAGAACTTCATGAATCATCCACAAATGCTCAAAGTGAGTGTTAAATGCCATTATGAAGCCAGATGACAAGATTTTTCTTTTTCCTACCAGTTTTCTCAATTCCCACTTGACTCGGTTTGGCTGGCTCTGTTATGCCTTGGAAATGATGTCAATAGAATTCTGAGACTGCTGCTAGGGAGCACAAAACATTATAGGTCCCACATAAACAATGGTTTTTTAATCTTTTTCATTTGACAACTGGATTTTTTGGCTCAATTCTATTTCTTTTTTAAGATTAGATTATCAGAGTCTGATAATATTAATCTGCATTTATACTCAATAGGATAACGAATCAAAACTATAAGAATTCAAGCTGGTACATTTTGGTTTACATGTGCCAAATAATTAATATGCCCAAACTCATAAATTTTGTATTTCTGAGATGTAACATTAATGTAATTCCAAATGTACACCAATATAATTCCCAATAAAAGTTCCTTCCTATATTTAATTTCTTACCAAAAAAAATTTTAAGTAAGTTTTGATTACCTTGAAGCTGGAAATAGAAGTATTTTTTTTTGCACTTTTAAGAGTCTGATTGACCCATTTAATAATAATTTCATCATTTACTTTTTCACCCTCTCCGAGATCTGATAACACATTCAATGTGTACCTATAAGAGAAAAGAGGTACATTTGAGACTGAAAGGGGTGAAATTTGCTTCCACATACTTTAAATATTGCTGATTTTAGTCTGATATTTGCATTTAGTTACATTCCAGAGTTATAAAGCTCAGTGATCACAAACAAAACCATTATATGGTATTAAAAAAAATTAAACTCGTTTCAAAGCAGTTTTTAAGAGTCATTAATAAAAGTGACTGTATTTCTAGATATTAACCCACTTTTATGATAAAGTATAATTTACAAAATATCAATACATCACTTAAAATTACTGTATGTTGCACTGTGTATTCTGTGTTCATAATTCTTCAAAAATAGCTAAAATTTTAGTTCAGATGATTTTTGAAGGAAACAGGAAATGTCACTTTTAAAGTATCAGCCTTTACCTCCTCATCAGCTGCCATACCAATGCCAGAGTAAGTGTTGAATTCCCTTCATTTAGGTCCTGCCCAGCAATGCCAACCAAGGAGAATTTGGCCTTATTCTTCCCATGTTCCACTGCATAGTTACAGTTTTCAATCTATGAGTAATAATTAAAAGCTTTGATATAAAAACAGATTTTAAAAAATCTATCTCTTGAATATGCCAGCATAGTTCAGTCATCTGACAGATAATTATGATGACACCTTAAATTTATATGACAGAATATCCTTTCATAATAACCCAGTGAAATTAAGGCAATGATTATTCCTATTTAATAGTTTAAGATATCAGAACACCAAGGGATTAACTTAGAGGAACAACTAGCTGAAAACTTTCAAGATCTTACCCTTAAAAATCTTGCCTGTCCAAGATTACACAGCTTATTAGTAGCAAATCTGTAACTAAAAACCTACGTTTCCTGTATTACATTAATAGAGGTAATAAATTGTTTTTGTTTAAATTTAAAATTAAGGAATAGAGAAAAAAATTATTTTATTAAGGCATTTAACTTAATTTCCCATATTCTTTTATCCAGATCTCACTCATCCTCTGAAATTCATCTTTTAGCCCACTTTCTTCAACAAAAGTTTTAACCTAAGCTGTACCAACTAATAACCATCTATCCCTTGTTGAACTCCCAAAAAGCTTATTTTGTAATGCTTAGGTACCATCTTCATTTTATGTGCTTTCTTGCCAACTATAGGGTAAACTCCCTTTAAAGGACAAAAACTATAACATGTACAAATCTTTAACATTCTCCCCATCACCAGCCCAGAACCCATCACAGTGCCCTGCCTACAGTAAGAATCTGATGAATTAACACAAAGTTATTTACCTACATATCTACGACTTTCCATTGACATAACTCTGGTTAAGTCCTTTCTTTAGTAAGTTTTTTGTTTACTCTGGCCTCTATTAAGGATTAATATTTCCAGTCATCTAGTACATATACATAGATATGTAAATTCTTATATATTTGAGTCTTTTTCTGCAGTGCAATTGTAAGCACTCATAATCTTCTAGTACCACAGTAGTAAAGAGTGCTTACTAAATACTTTGTGGAATAAAGTAAACATTCAGTTACAGAAAAATAGTATAACTCGTTTCTCCTGATTTTCTTTCCCAAGTTAGTTAAGGCCTCACTACAAAACAATTCAACCTGAGATACATTTTTTTTCCTAAGAAAAAGAAAACTTTCCCAGGAAAGGTGAGAAAGGGACCACAAAATAACAGAATTTGCACAAATAAATAGGTATTGTTCTTTAAAAAAGACAGTCCAAATGCCTAACGGTCAGTTTGTTACACATAAAAATGCAAGAAGAGCCTCTGAACCTGCTATGACATCTGCCAGGTTCCCTTAGAAGTTAAATAAAATCTTTGATGTGTGTTCACTTTTTTAAAATGCAAGGAGATGATAATCTAAATTGTTTCTTTTTCAGGTAGTCATATTATAGGTTTAGTCTGCCTAACAGAAAGATGTGCAATGGAAGTGCAGAGCATTTCTATGCAAACAATATAGAGCAATGCCCATTAGTGCAAATCTGCTCCTTTCTCACTTTTCCTGGAAATATATTTTTTCATAGAAAAAAAAATTATCTCAGGTTGAATTGTTTTGTAATGAGGACTTGGCTACGTTGGGAAAGAAAATGAAAAAAGTGGAATAGATTCCTAATTTATGAAAAATAATACCAGAACTCTGATTATGTAACTGTGTGAACAAGAAAGATAAAAACCAGCATATTTTCCACTAACACCCATGTCAATGACAGCATTTTCTAGCAAATTCTCATAACAATTACTTGTGTAAAATGTGTTTCAATGAAGGGCCATCTGTTTTACAGTTAGTTTGCTCAAAACTCCTGAGGGGAATGATAGTGAAAAAGGAGTTCAGGGTTACTTTACTAGTCCAGAGACCTAAGTTGTTGCTTGACCAGCAATGAATGGACACCTGGAAATGGATGC